CAGCCTAACCCCCTTCCTCCATCCACACGGGCACAACACAGTCTGGTCCATACACTATCCTGTGCACCAGGACTCTACAGGGCTATGGCCGCTGTTGGCAACTCTCCAAAGTGGGCAAAGGAGAGTGGGGAGACCCTGTCTCTGCACTGGCCAGTGGAATGGACCATACTTGCTATCCTAGGGTGGAGCAGTGGCTGTGTTCTCCCTGTGTTCCCAAGGGGTTGTGCCCTCAATGCACAAAAGAAATTTGGTGCCTAATTCCCAATTTTGGGACCACTGCAGTGCACAAAACTCCCGCTGAACCATGGAGGGGCCTAAACTCACTCGGCACCTAAGTTTTTGCATTAAAACTTCTCTACGCACCCAAATTTCTGCTTCTGAGTATGTGCACTGCTGCCTCCCTCTAGGCTTCTGGGCGCCTTTCTCCCACCTAAGCCCTAAAGCAATTCACAAATGGTAGGACCGGCATTCGGCTGCCTACGTCATGTGCAGGGCCCAATCCAGTAGGCATCCCCCTCTGGTAAATTCCTACAAAACAGCCAGGAGGCAGGGGAGGACCTCCCTCATATGACTCTTTGAGACAGGCAGAGAGCATACAAGCACAAGAGTGACCTGATAGCCCAGAGGTTAGAGCACTCACGTGGGAGACCCAGGATCCAGTCCCCCTGCTCCAGTGATTCATTAGTTACCCAGAGTTCAACAGGAGAGACTGAGAAGCCCCACATCAGTATATCCCAGAGCCCAGTAGTTAGAGCACTCACCTAAGAGGCAGCAGATCCCTGTTAAGATCCCTTTTCCACCTCAGGCAGTCCATCTCCCTGCCACTGAAAGATTATATGTTTACTATTTCTTTGTCCAGTCCGGCTTTACATTTGCCAAGTGATGAGGCTTCTACCACTTCCCATGGCAGACTATTAAATGTAAAGTTTAATCAAACTAGCAAGACAGTAAGCCAAAGAGAAGACATTCACAATCTGCACTGCTAATAATGCAGTTGAAAGAAAAGGTTTGGGGGACTGCAGGAGATTTGACTGTGACATGGATATTCTCCTTCATCTCAAATATATAGGGTCAAATTCTGGTCCCATTGAAGTCAATGGCAAAACTCCTATAGCTTTAATGGGACCCAGTTGATCCATAGTAAGATAGCCGTGTTACCTGCTTTGGATGTCACTTTACACCTCGGGACCTGCCATTCTCTCTTGTGTCACTCTCGACAAAAAGCTATGATTATGTTTAATTTGCAAATTTATATATTTGTTATTCCCCCAATTCATGACAAGTCAGCACAGAGAAAAAAAGAGCAATAGCTACCACTGAACAGCAATTTGAAGCTTTTTTTCCCTCCACTGTAAAGGACACAGAAAAACTTGAATGGAAGTTAATAAAAAGAAATCGCATGTTTTCCACTGAGAGACCAGATATCCTTGTATTCTCCATTTGGAAATGTCTTTGGGAAACCCTTGAATTCTTTATAAAATTTAATTAAATTTAAAAAATATTATTTTGCCTCTGAAGCCACATGGGAGTGTAACTCTCAGCAAAGATTTCATTAATATGCTGCCTGTATCCTGTACCAAGAACTTCATTGTATTCAACAGGATGTTCTTACCAAACCATTTCCCATCTATTCCTTCCTGCCCTCCTATTAAAAGACTTGTGCATTTTGATTTTGAATGGTGATTTCTCATTCCAGTGATCACTCACTGATCTACCCCTCCACCCCTATTCCCTTTTGTTTTACAGATTCTCTTTTATTTTGATATAGTTTTTACTGTCATTTTCACCATTGAAATTGCTCTGAAGGTAAAGTCCCCATCTTCTCTACCATTATTATCTGTCACTTATAAGCCTACTACTTCTCTGCCACTATCTGTTGCTAACACACACGCCTGTTTGTATTGGGTCACGCTCAGTACCACTAACCCGATTGTGCTTATTTTTCAGATCCTAGGCAATGCAGACTATGTCTTCACTAGTATCTTTACATTAGAAATTATTCTTAAGGTAACCAATCTGAGCAATACACTTCTCTCTCTCTCTCTCTCTCTCTCTCTGTCTTTGTATCACTTTAAATCCCATTGTTATCTCCACAGACAGGATTTTCTTTTGTTTTTTAGCTTATTGGTAGTTGTCTATGCTTCTAAACAGATCTTTTGTCCAATGTTGATATTCAAATGACATTTGCTATTTAGGACCAGTGTCAGCATGATGCTGCATTGGGGCGTCAATATGAAGGGATGTTTCTTTCAGGAAATATTAGACAGGGACAAGAAAAGGGCAAACAGGCCAGAAATTTACCCCAACAGTTGCCAATCGTTTCAGGACAACAGTACATATGTACCATACTAAGAACCATGAGCATGCAAGCCTCTCACATGTGGAACTCACACTGCAGAACGGCACTGTGTGAACCAATGCCCTTCCCCCCTCACACAGTTTGGCGTGTCAAAACCCAAAGTGAAGCTCTGAGTTTTACACTGTCATGAGACTGGAGTTTGGAGCAGCCAGAAGTCCCTTGTGGCTTAATGGGAGACAAATAGCAGATTGCCACAGGGGCCCAGCACAGAAGCTCATTGTTAAGGTCTGGAGGAGGAGCCTAGAATACCAGTCATTAAAGAATGAAGGCCCATAACTGGGACAGTACTGGTCGCTGAAAATCTCTGATCCAGAGAGTGAAACTGCCTGGCTAAAATACCCCCTTCTGATTTTCAGGGGAACACCCTGGCCACAAGGAAATGGAACAGGAGAATAGTTTGGCAATGAAGAAAATAAAAATCTGTTGCCTCTGTCTTAACTCTCATTTTCCCAAAAACTAATATTTTAAATAACAGTAATCAAGCAATGTCCTGGCTCTCTAGATGCAGGGTTCAGTTGGCATCTTGCTTTTTACTCAATGAACTGGTTTTAAGCGCTAGTGGATGGCAGCATTCTCCTTGGAGCTGCTGAGATCTCATAATTCAGACAGCTAATACAATATCCAAATGAACACTGGAAGGGCAGGATTCTCCCTGAATGTTAGGAACTGGGCTTGTCTGTTTGGCTTCAAAGCACCAAAACTACAGTGCTGTCCAGAGAGGCTCACCCTTTTTGTTGTGCTGCTGCACACAGTGTGTGTGCCCATTAAATCTAACACCCACCCAAAAAAACACGATTAAAAAGGAAAACAGCTCAGCAGCAACATTAAATATAAGTTTAGTACAAGCTTTAGTTCTCTGTACAAGGGCACCTTTAAGCCATTTGACTTTATGGTAGTATACCACTAATGGCCCAGTCCTGCTCCCACTGGTAGGAATGGCAAAGCTCTCATTGACTTCAGTGGGAGTGGGATCAGGTCCCAACCTTTTATCTAACAAATCCACTAGCAGAGTGGTCTGCTTTCCCCTGGAGGAGTGAACCTTGTAGTAACTATATCTGGGATTCAATCCTGATCCCATTGACGTCAATGACCAAACTCTTGTTAAATTCAGTGGAACCAGAATTTCAACCCTGGGCTTTTTCCAGGTGTAACTGATAGAAGAGCAGGGACTGAGCACAGGGTTAGGAGTCAGGAAATCCTGAGTTCTAATCCTGTCTCTGCTAGTGTCCTGTAGCTTGACCTCAAGACAAGTTACTTAATCTCTCAGGGCCTGTTTCTCCACTGTCTTGCATCTTGTGCAGTCTTTTACATGAGTACCAAGTAGGTGTAAAGAGTTGCCTTGACTGGACCAGCACAAATGACTGTACAAATCTCAAGACAGTGGAGAATTTGTAATTTGGGGCTGCTAACACTTCCCTTCCTCACAGTGTTGTGATAACCGTTAATTAATTAATGTCTGTACAATGTTTTGAACATATAAAGTGATGCATAAGCAAAGACTATAATTCTTTAAATCATTTAAAATGGTATTGCAGTTGCTTTGGTCAGTGCCACAGGTGGAAAGCAGACACTGGATTATACACTCTTTAAGTAGCTTCCCTGAATATAGTGAAATCTTCCAACAGGCAGTAAAGAACCACTGTTCCTACAGTACTGAAACCCAGCAGAGCTTCCCATCCTGATTTCAATGGTGTCTTCTTTCTTTCAAGATTGCCATACAAAATACAAGCAGTAAAGGGCATCTTTACCACCTTTGTCATGGCAAGAACCCTCCCTTTCCCCAGTCAAATGTGTTCATAAGTATAAATTCTAAATTGAGGCCAGAGTTTATACTTCCTTCCCTTCTGAGTCCTGTCTGACTGATTGATTGGTAGGCAGTTCCTAATGTCGTGGATGTTTGGTGAATAAAGTCATGCGCTATATCATGCTGTCTTCAGCGCTCCTTTGACTGGAATTGCCATGGGTAGCCAGGGCTGGAAACTGCTAGGAAGTACACTATCTGGACTAATAGCAGGAACCAGAGGACCCATATAAGGTTGTGTATCCTTCACAATCCAACTGGACTTAGCCTCTGATTGTTCTTCTCTTGCTTTGAGCAGCCTGGTTAAAGCTAATCATTTTTAGAAACCGCAATGCTAGTCTCATCTAGTTGTGTTTTGAGATGGGTCTTGCCCATAAAATTCAAATCAGGGTCTGAACTTTCCCAAAAAGATGCTCCTTTTCTGTGGGACAGAGGGAATTCTAAGGCTCCAGAACTGTATTTATTGACAATGTAAAAAGAGAGAGGTCTGAACCTAAACTCCAGGTCTAAAAACTTCTGGACTTCCCAAAGTTCAGAGGTTTTTAGGCCTGGAGTTTTGTTCAAACCCATCTATATTTACACTCAATAAATACAGTTCCAAAGATGGAAAATTCCACCTGTCCCACAGAAAGGGAACATTTCTTTCACAGAATCTCGTTGTTATTCAATAAAATACACCTTCTGGGGCAGGGAATCCCTCATATAGGAAGTGGAATTTTAATGTTCCAAGAGTGGAAGGTGCTCCTGCTGACTGTTCTTCCTAGTACAGAAGCTTTAGTCTCATTGTCCCATGGAATCTTTCCTTAGGATTTGTGAGAAAGGAACAGAGGGAAGAGAGGGGAAATATACCTGCTTCATTTCTTGAACAAAATTACAGGGACCAAACTGGGGCTGAACTTGAGGGAAAGCAAGTAGAGAGGACACAGGATTGA